ATTACCTTACACAGGACCAGCTCGGGTTTGAGCCTGGTACTCCATATGGTTCTCTGGAGCCCCGCCAGGTCTGATCCCTGAGTGCAGAGCCAGGAGTAAGCTCTGAGCACTGATGAGTGTTACCCATAAACAAAGAAGCAAAAAAAAAAAAAAAAATTCAGAAATTTCTTCAGTTCTTTGTAATCTATTCAGCGTAAGCTTTTCCCGTTTTAATTACTGGAAAATGTAAGCATAGGTAGCATTACTAGAGAGAATAGTGTAACTCACCTAATCTCGTATCTGTAACTTACACAGTTATCAGTTCATGAGCAGTCTTGTTGAATTTCTCCCCCCTGGCACTATCAGCTTGTTGTAACACAAGTATCAATCACTGACTCATTTTCTCCCTATACAGAAAGAATAGGCTTTCAGACAAGGATCAAGGATTGAAAGCTGCAGCAGCTCCAAGGGGTGGAGCTCGTGTCTAGATTCAGTCTCCAGCACCCCAAGGCACCCCAGGCATCTCCAAGAATAGTCCTGATGGCCTCCAGCTCTGCTGAACCCCAGGTGCTGCAGCCACAGCCTGCAGGGGAAGCCCTATTAAAAAAATAATAATCAGAGGAAAAAAAGCAGGAAAATCAGTGAAGGGATAGTAAAGGACCAACCCCATAGCTCTGTTACAATTTTGGTATATTTCCCTTTAATATTCTCTAAAACAACTTTTTTGGGGATGCAGGAGTTTGGACTGCTCTGGGTTTATTCCTGGCTCTTCACTCAGGGATCACTCCCTGCTGTGCTCAGGGAACCGTATGCAGTGACAGGGTTGACTGCATGCAAGGCAAGTAAGTGCCTTATCCACTGTACAGAGGCTTGCCTTGAACTTGGTGGACCTGGGTTCCATCCTGGCATCCTATGTGACTCCATAGCACCGCCAGGAGTAATTCCTGAGTGCAAAGCTAGGAGTGACCTCTAAGTATCAACAGGTGTGGCCCCAAAACAAAAAAAAAATGGTGGTGGGAAATGTACAATGGTGGAGAATTGGGTGTTGGAACATTGTATAATTGAAACCCAGTCATGTACAACTTTGTAACTGTATCTCACAGTGATTCAATAATAATAATAATAATAATAATAATTTAAAAAACCCAGATTGTAACAGGGATAACCAGCATGGGTTCTGCTTATATATCCTTGTTCAGAAATTTTAAAATAGGCTTAAAATGCTTTTTCTAGTAAAGGAAAATTAATCATAATTTAAAATACTAGGTACAAGTAGATGTTGGTGGGAAAGCCGTCTATCTGGATTGAGGCTCCAGAACCCACTGACCAAAATAACTTTCTGGGGAGCAGAATTTTCTTGGGAAGAAATGTTCTGGGTAAAGGGAGAGGATAGCAAGGAGGGCAGCTGGGTCCTAGGGCCCCTGCTGCTGAGACGGGACTCCCAGGGCATCTCCTCCCCCTCCCCACGCAGTTCTGACACTTAGGACCTAATGCTGGGGAGGGCCTAACCCAAGCCTAGCATAGTTTGCTGTCCCAGACACCTGTTCTGTTGGCCTCTAGCTTGGTTAAGGCAGTTTGAGCAGAGTAAAAAGGTAGTTAGGGCTAGTTAGAAGCAAGCTGCCTGTTTTCCTGGAGAAGCCCCCCAACCCTGTTGCCAAGTTAGGGGCACCTGCAAAGGTCACTGTCTAACAGCACTCTGGGCTTGGCACTGCACAGAACAAGCAGCCTTCTGGACCCCAGGCTCTTTGTCTCTCCCGATTCTTCTGGTTGGGTTTTCCTAAGCCTCTGATCACTCTCTTCCTTTAACCTGCCTGGCTGGTGTGACCTCCTAGGCGGGAGCAGTTCTCTGCTTTCATGAAAGCAGAACTAATCTCTGCATTCTCCCTGGAGCACATCGGGCCCAGCTCTGCCTCCCCACAGGGCTGCCTGCTGGAGCAGCCCAAATATGTGAGTTCAGGATCCCAGGCGTGTCCTGGGCACCGTGCTCGGCATAGCTGAGAAGCAGGTGTGCAAAGAGGAAGCCTGGGTGCCTTTCATGGCCTTCATGGCACACCGCACATGGACACTTCCTGTTTCCTCTTTTCCTTCTTGGTGGGGGGGTGTTTCCAGATGTCCCAGATCCCCCCTTGGACCCTCCTGAGAAACCTGAGTGGACAGAAGGTTAACTCTTGGAGGATGGTGAGGGGGCTGGCAGAAGAGCTATTTGTGTGCTGAGAACTTTTCAGGGGCAGGTTCTTCAGGGAGCTACAGGTGGCCTAGGCGAACACTTCTGGCTTATGCTCTAGGCTGGTTTCCTGTGCCTTTTTAAAGACGATGGTACCCCTTCACTGGGGAACTGTTTAATTTTTAATTGAGGTAATATTAATTTTTATCAAGTTCCTTTTAAATCTTGGGATTCTTAAACATCTTAAATTCCGTACTTGTGTGTGTTGGTTTTGGGTTTGGTGCCACACCTGGCAGTGCTCCAGGCTTGCTCCTGGCTCTGCACTCAGGGATCTCGCCTGGCAGTGCTTGGGGAATATATGAGCTGCCAGAAATCAAACCTGGGTCAGCTGTGTACATGCCAAGCGCCCTACCCACTGTACTATCTCTCGGCCACACGTGCCTTTTTTAAGGGTGATGGCAAAGCATGCTTTGTGTATCTTACAACTTGCATACCATATTGAATTCAGTGAATTTCAGTATGTTCACAGAGTTGTGTCTTCAGCCCCAGAATCAATTAGCTCACCTCAAAAGGAAGCCCCATCCTCATCAACTATTCTTCCCTGTTCACTCCCAGTTTCCTCTTCCCCACCCTTAGGCAACTGTGAGTCTATTTTCTGCCTAGAATTGCCTGTTCTGGACTTTCATAACAATAGACTCATACAATAATATGTGGTCTTTGTGACTGATTTCTTCCACTCAGCAAATTTTCAAGTTTATCCATGTTATAACATATATTTGCACTTTTCTCTTTTCTGGGGGTGTTCCCCAAGCAGTGCTAAGGGGCCCTTTCCTGCTATTCTCAGTCATCTGGGCCCTGGTTTAGTGCAAGGGCTTGGAAATTACCCAGATAGATCACCTCTGCAGTGCTCTGGGCCTCCAGGGGCTACATCGAGTGATGTGGACACCAAGTGGTGCTGGGGATCAAACCTGGGTTGGCCACATGCAAGGCATGTACCGTAACCCCAGTTATCTTTCTGCCCCACCCCCTTCTTTTTTGTTTTGGTTTTGGGCCTCATCTGGCAATGCGCAAGGTTACTCCTGGCTCTGTGCTCATTAATCATTCCTGGTGGGTTCAGGGGACCATATGGGATGCCAGGGATGGAGCCTGGGTTGGCAGCATGCAAGGCAAGCACCTACCTGCTGTAATAGGCCTCGGCCCTTTCCTTCCCTTTTTTCATGAGGCTTCCTTCCCAGGACACATACCAGGCATCCACTCAGGCACTCGACCCTGGCAAGTTGTCACTTTTTCTTTTTTTGCATCACACCCGGCGTTGCACAGGGGTTACTCCTGGCTCATGCACTCAGGAATTACTCCTGGCGGTGCTCAGGGGACCATTTGGGATGCTGGGAATCAAACCTGGGTTGGCTGCGTGCAAGGCAAACGCCCTACCCGCTGTGTTATTGCTCCAGCCCCATTTTTCACTTTTTTGAAGCACCAAAGTTTTTATTTTAATGATGCCCCCTTTTTTTAAATTTGAGATATAATTAATTGACATGAATGCTATTTTCATTTTAGGTTACAACAGATGATTCTGTAAGGGCCAAACCCAGGGCCTCTCCCCTGTTAGATGCAGGCTCCACCACTGAGCTCCACAGTGTCCCTTTCCTTATTCTCAGTTGTGAGCAGAATGGACAGAAATGACACCAGGCAGGTTAGCCTGCTGCCCGTCATGCATTTCTCCCGCTGCCCTTTCACGTCTGTGGATACACCTATGCTGCTGGAGGCTGCACACATGTCATCGTGGTGCTCACAGTGCTCATGGAGACTGGTGCTCCTGCAGCCTTGGTGCTAACGCACAGTCTGTGTGTGGTGCTCACTGGGAGTCATGTGGTGACGTGGCTGGAAATCACTAGTAGTGGGAGTCTGGCTGTGGTGTGGCTGGAAATCACTAGTGTTTCCACGAGTCATATGCAGCACAGCTGCCAAGATGGTGTATGACCCATGTGGTGACACTGGGGGGTAAATTCAGGCATCTTGGCTTGCAGGGCGAGTGCTTTAGCCACTGAGCCATCTCCTGGCCTCACATGTGTTTGGAGGCAAGTGAGGGAGGCCCCAGGTGAGCTGAGGGCAGGAGCAGGTGGGCTGGGTCTCCCAGGAGCAGTGGGCATCCAGGCGCTATGTGTGTGCAGGGGAGGCCCTCTGTGGCTGGCCCTTTGGGAGGATGTTATTGGCTCCGTGTCTGTGTGGACCCGTGGCTGGTTGTCCTTTTCCACCAGGCCTGCCCTTGTGTGCGTTGCCCTGGGTTTGGGCTCTCCCAGAATGCGCTGAGAGGAATTCAGGGGGTGGTCTCAGCCAGAGGAAAGCAACCCTGACCGGCCGTTAGTCTTCCCAGGTGCGATTGCTAGGGTCCAGCCAAGCAGAAGGGAAAACTCTTTGGCTCTCAGAAGCCCGGGAGCAGGAAGTTGAGGGAACCGTAGCACTGGGATTGGCAGCCTCAGCTGGCATCTGGTCTCTCTGGGATGCTGTTATTTTTATGTATGAAATGACACTCTCATCTCCAAATAAACTCTTCTTCTTAATAGACTTGCTCCCTTTGAACAAAGCCTGAGGCTCCCAGCTTTGCTCTGGGGGCATCTCAGGGGAAGCCTCTGCAAACCCGGGGACCCCCTGGCTGGGGGGCAGTGCAGAACTCTGGCTGACCAGGAGGTCCAGCAAGCCTGTCAGAACATCTGGAGTGCGTTTTCTTTGCTGCTCTCTTGCCCTTCTCCAACTCGGTCCAGGAAAGAAAATCTCTGAACTAGCAGCCCTTGGCTCCACCTGGTTATTGCCTCTCTCTCCTCAGTCAGTGCTCAGCTCCCTGATTCTTGTCTTCCAGCTGCCCAACATGTTCGGCGACCTTCGCTCCACCTTTATTTCCCTGATGATTGGCTCCTATGCTTCTTCGGCCGTCACCTTCCCAGGAATCAAGGTGAGGGTGGGGCTGGCGGTTTCCAGCTTGTTTATTTTGCGTTGGTGTCTGAACAGAGGCCTCTCCAAAAGGCTTCTTCAGCGGGAAGTCTTTGTGGGTGCCAAGCCGGGCCCCTCCCTGCCACCCACACCTGGGAGGATGCACCTGGGCCCCAGAGGAGTGAGAAAAGCAAACCACTGAGCCATGGGGGGCGGGGGGGAGGGTGGTGGAAAATGCTAGCAGATCTCTGCAGGCTGTTACCGCAGAAGCCTCTGCTTCGCTAGGCTGCCGTGGAGAATGGGGTGGGGGCGGGCTTGCTGGGGTCCAGCGCCTGACTCCTGGCTCCCCCCTGTCGTGGGCCAAAGCGCTGCTCACAGCCAAGTTGGTTCAGCTGTTTCCCTCCCAGACAGGACTCAGAGTGCATGGAGGTCACGAAGGGTCAGGCTGAAGCAAACACAGTTCCCACTTCCACTCCCGCTGCTGCTGCCAGGCCTGCGGAGGGGTTGCTCGTCCCTCTGGCTCCAGCTCCAATCCCCCACCCCTGCCCCCACAAATCCCTTTCCATGGGGTTCCATGGGAGAGGAGGAGTCCTCAGGTGGGCAGGCACCAGCATCAAGGTGCTTGGGGCATCCAGGGCCCTCCTGGGGACAGAAAGGGTTCTCACCCCCTGAGTGCGAGGAGCCAGGAGTTTCTCCCCTGCTTGTCCTGTTTGACCACATCCTGCTTCCACGGCTGCTGTCTGTCAGTGCTGAACTCGTGCTGGAAATAAACAGCCAGGGCCGGGGTGATAATAGAGCCAGTAGGGTGCTTGCCTTGCACGCTGCTGACCTGGGTTCAGTCCCCAGCACCACACACAGTCCCCTGAGCTCACCAGGAGTGATCCCGAAGTGCAGAGTCAGAAGTAAACCCTGGGCGCCGCCAGTCGTGGCCCCGCCAAACAGCCACAAAATAGAAATTAAAACGACTGGACAGAGTGTACAGTGTGTAAGGCGCCTGCCTTGCATACGCCTGACTGAGTTCAATCTTCAGCATCCCATACGGTCCCCCGAACATCACCAGGAGTAATTCCCGAGTGCAGAGCCAGGAGTTAGCCTTGAGCATCGCTGGGCAGGGCCCAGAAACCAAAAGAACAAGGAAAAGAAATTAAAACAGCAAGAGTGACAGTAACTGCTAGCTTGCCTGGTTGTTTATTTTGATGGGGGGTTGGGCCCCCCCCCCCCAGCTATGCTCAGGGCTTCCTCCAGACCCTGCAGTCGGCCTCACGCACAGCAAATGCCTCACTCTCTGTACTCTCCTTCTGACCTAAATCAGCTGCTTTGGGCTGGCCAGGCCCTAAGCTGAGCTCTCCACTAGGATCCCGCCGGCCTGCCCGCCCCACATCACCAGGCACCTGCCAACGCAGCGCCTGTTCCCTAGAGGAGCCAAGTGAGCACCGCCCCACGCAGTCCTCAAGTCTCTCTTTTGATACCTGCCGTATGAGCTGTCCAGTGCATAGGAGTCTCTGAGTGAATGGGGCTGCTGGGTCCCTTTTCCCAAGGAGCACAACCCACAGTGCATGAGTAAGGGGGTTCGGTCGGAGACGTGGCCAGGGCTGCTCCCCACAGTGCCGCAGGGTTGCGCTTCTCCAGGCCTGCTTGCGTCTGGGGAGCCCCTAGCCAGACTGGCAAGCTGTGGCCCCATCACATCTCAGCCCCGGGAAACGGGGCGGTCTGCTGCCAACCGCGCCCCTACCTTGCCCCCAACAGGTCATCTACGATTTCGGGGTCTCCTTCATCATCATCCTTGTGGTCTGGGCCAGCTGCTCCGGACTGGTTTTCTTCAACTGCTTCTTTAACTGGCCCCTAGAGCCCTTCCCGGGGCCGGAAGACATGGACTACACGTGAGTGCGCATGCTCCCAGCCCTCAGCCCCTCGTGGCCCCGGGGTCTTGGGCAGCTGCTCACGGCCACATCCCCACAGGGTGAAGATCAAGTTCAGCTGGCTGGGTTTTGACCACAAGATCACCGGGAAGCAGTTCTACAAGCAGGTGACCACAGTGGGCCGGCGCTTAAGTGTGGGCAGCTCCATGCGGGGCGCCAAGGAGCAGGCATCGCTGCAGGACGGCCACAAGCTGTGCCTGTCCACTGTTGACCTGGAGGTGAAGTGCCAGCCCGATGCCGCAGGTACCTGCTGTGCCACCCGCCCCTCCCAGCCCCTGACACGGTCACCCCTGCTGACCAGAGCAGCCTAGCTGGGTTTCGAGGCCCTGGCCTCCAGAGTCCCTCCTGGAGGGACTAGGACCAACTGAAGGGCACATGGGTATCAGCTTTCTTCACCCCCAAATCAGAGGGGCACCGGCCATCCTGGGGCACACATGAGGACACCAGAGCTCCGAGGGGGTCGGGGGCTCACGTCCCACTCCCCACAGATGGGTGCCCAGCTCCAGCCCCCACACCGCCACCTGGCATGGGCCCACCCCAACATGTGGGCAGTCGGGACTTCTCTACCCAGTCCCCTGGCATCTGGAGGGGGCCCAGCGCGGGTCGCAGCCCCTGTCCTCTCTGAACTGAGCACCCCTGCACCCCCGCAGCGGCCCCCTCGTTCATGCACAGCGTGTTCAGCCCCATCCTGCTGCTCAGCCTCGTCACCATGTGCGTCACACAGCTGCGGCTCATCTTCTACATGGGCGCCATGAACAACATCCTCAAGTTCCTGGTCAGCGGCGACCAGGACGTAGGTAGGTGAGCCCTGGGCCTGGAAGGGCGCCCCAATCAGAACAGCGGTCACTCTGGCTCGCCCAAAGCGAGGTCCACTGGCTGCTGACTGGAAGGAGGCCGTGAAATGGCCAACGCTCGGGCAGCAATTATGGTTTGGAGCCATTTCCTCCCAGCCACGACGGACGGGCCTCTCCCGGCTGCTGTTTCCCAGTCTGCGAAGGTGGGGAGGAGGAACATGACTCTCTGTGTTTGGGGTGCGGGTGCCCGTGTTTCATTGCCCGGAGGGGACAGCTGACTTGTGTGTGGGTAAGCACCGCTGAGCGGAGACGGGCTGCCCCTGAGAGCGTGTTGACAGACGGCACCGCGAGCCCCACGCGAGGCTGGCATGAGGCGGGGTGGGAGACAGGATGTCCCAGCGGAGCCTCTGCCGCGGAACCGGGAAGCAGGCAAGGCCGAGCCTTCCTCTACGGCACCCCAGTCTAGGCTTGTCCGTTGGGTAAACAGACCTGATAAACCCACACGCTGCTCTTCTAGAACAGCACGGAAGGTCTTCAGCTGATTAGAGGTTTTGATTCAACAAAGAAAGTCAGTACTTCCTCAGGGCCTGGCCTGAGTCAGCTTTAGTCATCCCCGTGCGGGACAAACACTTTCGGTAAATCCCTTTTATTGGCAGGCTCTGCGCTGTGCCGCTCTCCTGTTGGCTTATTTTTCCCCTCGGGAACGGCACCGTAGCAGGGTGAGCAATCAAAGGCAGCCTTTAAAGGGACAACCCCAAAGAGGACAGCACCCAAACAAAGGAAGCAGGCAGCAGGACTCCTCTGTGACATGGGCAGATAGAATCTCCCAGCCTTGCACAATGCTGCGTGAGCTCTGACACAGTGAAGACCCAGAGGAGCCTTCCAGGGCAAAGTTAGTCTGTGAGGCACCCTCACTTTTCTGCCATGGGAAACCTTCTAGAACAATTATTTTTTTTTAGCAGCTAGAGAGATAGTATAGTAGGTTAGTCATTTGCTTTGCACAAAGCTGACCTGGGTTTGATCCCTGGCACCCCATATGATCCCCCCGAGCACTGCCAGGAATAAGGCCTGAGCCCCACTGGGTGTGGCCCAAAACAAAAAACAATAAACTTTTATGAGTATCTGAGCATCATCCTGTGCAGAAAGCAGGTCTGATGTGCTGCAGTGCAGCATATTAAGATCACACACAGGAGGGCTGGAGCAGTAGCACAGTGGGTAGGGTGTTTGCCTTGCACACACCTGATCCCTATCCACTGTCAACCCGGGTTCGATTCCCAGCATCCCATATGGTCCCCCACCAGAAGTCATTCCTGAGTGCAGAGCCAGAAGTGACCCCTGTGCATCACCGAGGATGACCCAAAAAGCAAAAAAAAAAAAAAAAAAAAAAAAACAAGAACAACAACAAAAAAAAACACAGGCCCTAGAGCTGGGGAAATAGAACAGAGGTATATGCTTTGTATGTATGGGTTCACGTCAACATCAGGGACTGCATGGCCCTTCAAGCAGAGCCAGGTATAGTCCTCATGGCCCCTGAACTCCACTGAGGTATCCTGAGGGGGTCATTGACCCAAGCAGCACTTCATCTTTAGGCCCTGTATCACCAAACAGTCTGGCCCGCATGTCCCTTGGAGTAGCCCCCGGGACACCCCTGAGAGAAGGGTAGGATTCAGAAAGGGAAAAGCATCTCAGAGAGATGGCTCAACTGAGCACAGGTTTGACCCCCTGCACTGCCTGGCACACAGTGCCAGGAGAGCCTCCTTTGCCAGGATTTTTTTAAAAAGAAAAGAATCTGGGCCAGTTATAGTCCAGTGGGTTAGGCACTTGGCCTGCGTGCAGCCAACCTGGCTTTGCTCCCTGGAACCACACATGGTCCCTCGAAGCCCCACCAGGAGTGATCCTGAGCAGCCGGGTGTGGGCTGCCTCCCCCAAAAATAAGGGAAAAGAAATCTCAGGCCCAGAGAGGCCGCCCCTGACCGCAGGAGGGCTCGTTTACTGCTACTGAGTCCTGCGTAACCGTGACTCAAGTTCTCCAAAAACATCTTCTGCTACCTAAGACGAATTTTTATGACTGTTTCCCACATTCATAAAGTCATTTTGAAGAAATAGAGGAAGTAAACCAGGAGCTTCAGTGTGCAGTTGACAGGACATTGGTCTTCCCCATCCTGCATGGTTGCACCAGCACCACGGCCCCTCTGCCCAGTGTGCGTGCTTCAGGCTCAGCTGGTGGCCCAGAAGGGTGACTGGCTTGGGGGCTGGGGGGACCCTGGTGTCAGATGCTTTGGTTCCTCCTGCACTCAGAGGTCACGGGAGGAAGAACAGAGGGATGGTACAGCAGGTGAGGAGCTTGCCATCCAGACATCCGATCTGGGTACAATCCCCAGCACCACATAATCTGAGCATGCCAGGAGTGATCCCCTGAGCACAGAGTCAGGAGTAAACCCTGAGCATCACTCACTATGGCCCAAAAACCAAACAAAAAAGCAGAAAGAGACAGTGTTTCTGAGAAGGAACACTCACATTCAGCACACACACTCTTATACAAACACACTGACTAACAGCGTGCACACACACACACACACACACACACAATTTTTTGTTTTTGTTTTGGGGCCACACCCAGCAGTGCTCAGGGCTTCTTTCTGGCCCTTCATTCAAGGCTCACTCCTGGTGGGGCTCATAGGACCATATGTGGTGCGGGAGATTGAGCCTAGGTCAGCCATGTGCAAGGGAGGTGCCCTCCCCGCTCTACTGTCACTCTGCTGTCCCTCCCCCCTTCCCCCACCACACACACACTCTTCCTTGCACCTGCACGTCTGGCTTTGCAGGATCCTCTACACCCTCACTGTTTCCCTGTCACGGCCCCAGCCCACATTCAGGTCTGATTCACCAGCCCTCCTGGGACGCGGCCCCAGCAGACAGGAAAAGGACAGCAGACTCCCCCGGGCCTCCGCTCCGGAAGCCAGGAGCTCCCCCTCCCCAGGCAGGCTGGGCACTCTGAGTCGATGATCCTGGCGAGGCCAGGCCCATAGGCTGCCCCACACTTCTGCTCTGTGCCCTACTTCCCCGTCTCTGCTGCTAACCTTTCTCCTTTCCACTCTCTCACCCTGGCTCTCGGGATGCAGTGATGGCCACTGGTAAGCTGGGACGGATGGTCAGGGAGTGTTGCGACACAGTCCCCAAACCCAGCTCCATTCCTCCAGAAGGCGCCAGGCCCTGAGCACCATACGTTCTTCCCCTTGCAGGCGGGGTGGGGCAGTCGGCTTGCAGCTTCTCTTTTCCTGAGAAATCCCTTCCTAATTGTCCGGCTCTTTGAAGACGGGAGCCCTTACGTCAGCACCCCCAGGAGCAGAGCCCTGCAGATCTATTTCCAGAGGCGGCTTCTGATGGCCCATTGTGCCCAGACCCCACACAGGCACCGGGAGCTGTGTGATTCCCAGGCCCTGACTCCTGCAGCTTCCGGGCAAGGCCACTGTGACAGACAGGGCTTAGAAACAAGCCGGGGACTTGGAGAATGGGGGTCCGTCCCTGGCTCGGGGTTGACCTCACCACTAAGACCGCTGTGCCTGTCACCACCCATATACTGTCAAGGGAGGGATCAGTTGGGGGAAGACCCAGGGGGGCCCGTGGAGTGTCAGACCGAGCGCGGTACCCGCCACAGCCCTTGTCACAACCCGTGACACCGTCTTCCTCCCCAGTTGGCCTCTACACATCCATCTTCGGCGTGCTCCAGCTGCTGTGTCTACTGACGGCCCCCATCATCGGCTACATCATGGACTGGAGAATGAAGGAGTGTGAAGACGGCTCTGAGGAGTCTGATGAGAAAGACACTAACCAGTGCGTAGCCAGGGCCCATGCCCCAATCCCCTACACAACAGGTTCCTCAAACGAGACGTCAGGCGGAGACTGGGGGTGTGGGGTCAGCAGCAGAGGGGCCGGATTCTGAGGAGTCTTCAAGGCACTGAGTCCTCCACGAAGTTAGGGCTGGGCTTAGATCAGAGGGTGACTCCAGAGCCATCCGCTCTGACCCCACCCCATCTAATGAGCTTCTGTTGGTTGTGTTGGGCCTCATCCAAGCGCTTCAGATGTCCCTTCAGCCTCCTCACTCCCTGACGGGGCGTGTGCTAGTGTACCCATTTTCCAGGTGAGGGAACTGATCCTTGGCCTTTCAGTGGCTGGCCTGCAGTCGCTGGGGAGAAAACCATGGGCCTCGGGCTATCTGCTCACCTCCCAGCACTTGGCATTTGTTCTTGGGTGTCCTGCGGTTGTCTGTGGGGTGTCTCTGTGGGTGGCGAGACGAGAATCAGGAATAGTGAATTCACAAGGAAGTAATTACAGAAAATACTCTGTTATCTAGGTCAGGTCCTATCACTGGGAGGTTATCTGTTGCCCATTCCAGTTCCATTTCCATCTGCTCCATACTCTTCTCTCCTTCCCTTGCCACCAAAGCCTCCCTGCCCAAGGGGAGAAGCTCCCACTCCCTGGTGGGGCATTTTGTCAGCTCTCTGCAGGATTTAGGTGTAGCCAGGGCCAAAAATGAAGCCAGGCTCTGCTGCATCCTAGCCTAGACCTGCTCCGGCCCCTTCCCTCTGCTCTGAGCTCGCTCAGCCCTGCAGCGCACGGATCCGTCTTCTGCTGGGGAGACAGTTCTCTTCTGAGACTCACGCCCAGCACGTGGTGGGGGGTGGACTGGTGCTGTCCAGGCCGTGACAGCCCCACCAGTGTGCTTGGGCGGTCTGAATGTGCCCTCCCTCCCCTCCCCCGCCCCCCCACCCCCCCAGCCATCCCCCTCAGCTGTGCTGCTGAGGACTGGATACTCGCTGAGCCCATCCACGCCCTGGCTCTAGTGTGTGATCTGTCTCCACAGAAACCCGGATAAGAAGAAGCGGGACCGGCAGGTCCAGAAGGTCACCAACGCCATGCGAGCCTTCGCCTTCACAAATGTGCTGCTTGTGGGCTTTGGGGTGACCTGTCTCATTCCCAACCTGCCTCTCCAGGTGGGTGTGGGAGAGGAAGAGTTCAGCTGGGGGCTGGGGGACAAATAGACTCTAAAGGCCTGATGTGTTTATCCTGGGAACCGATCAGAGAGAGTGGCGGCTTTCATTTCACTCCTGGCCAGTGAAGCAGCCTGGCCAGCGGCACTTACCTGCCTGACTCTGTCCAGTGCTGGAGTGAGCCGGAGATGAAGTGGGATTGTTTTCCACTGAAGGCTGAAGGCTGGGGTCCAGCTGATAAGGCACTTGCCTTGCACGTAGGTGACTGAGTTCAATCCCTGGCATCCTGAGCACTGCCAGGAATGATCCCTGAGGGCAGAGCCCAGAGTAAATACCCTGAGCATCACTGGGTGTGGCCCAAAGGCCAAAAAAAAAGACTGATTGCGAAGACAATCTGAAGGCAGATTCTTCTTGGTCTTTCAGACATTTTCTATACCGTGAATACCACTGTCAAGCCATTTTCAGAGCCCTGTGGGCTAGTCATGTTGCTGTTTGACACTAAGTCAAATAGCTAAGCGAGGCAGTGCTCAGAGATTGGGCCAGTCTGCGCTGTTGGTTCCCAGAATGTCACTCTGTCAGAGATTGGGGAGAGACCGTGACGAGTGCTTGGTGTGTGGGTTCAAAGCTCGCTCGCTTTGTGCCAGACTTGAGGCTTTGGAAACCTGAGCTTTGTTAGACATTACGAGCAAGGCAGATTTTTCTTACCTGCCTGGCTCCATCTTCAGGGTCATAAAGCTGTTCTAAGTCTCCAAGCTTAAAAGGGACCCACTTTCAGATAGGTGTCGCTCAAGTCCATTAGGGTATCTGGGGGAACCAGGGATGTGACTCAGTGGTACCACACACCTTGTACGTGTGAGTTCTGGGTTGTATTCCCAGCAGACCATATCTTGAGCCAGGTCAAGGAGGAAAGCGAGAGCCCTTGTGTTTTCTCAAGTGGCCACATGCTGGCGAATGTTCAAACCCAGGTATTCCCCAGCACGGGCGCTCTGGTGATTGTATGCAGAGCTGAGGAAACCACTGGGCTTCCCCGAGTGCCAGCAGGGAGTGGTCTTGTGTCTGATGCCTTGCTGCTCTCTGTCCAACCCTGCTGGTGGTTGAGGAACAATGCTCAGACAGTGTTGTCAATTGCTTTTTTGGTTTTCGGTTCACATAGAAAGCGAAGCTGTGGAAAGGCAGCGGGGCCCATGCTGGAAGGGCAGGGGCCTACGAGGCGAGTACGTCCATGCCCAGCCCTCCTTCACCACCACGGAGTGCAGCCCAGGGCCTGCCGCTGCCCACTTCCTTGGGAGTGGGTCCAGACACCGAGCAGGAGGCAGGACAATTTGCAGAAAGCACAGGGACCTGTGGGCAAGCAGCTGCTCTCGAGCCTCTCGGGAACCCTCGGCACTCGGGTCTCTGCTTTCTAAATGGCCACACCAGCCTTCTCAAGAGGCCAGAGACTTCCGGCCTGGAAAGCTGGGGAAAGGAAGGACAGCCACTGCCCGTGCTCCCCGGGGAACCTGGCAGGGGGACCTCTGGGCACAGCGCTCTGGTAGCAGGAGCAGACGAGGTCACAGAATGTGGCCGCCTACTCAGTCCTCTGCGGATACCTCTTTGGCAGCTGGGGGCTGGGGAAGGAGAGGGCTGGGCACGGGGTCAGAGGGGAGACCTGGTTTTCAGTGTTCGCCCATTTCCCTGGTCTAAAGGCTTTTGTCATGAAGACTGCAGCTCGTCTGATGCAATTGAGGGTGAAGTGGGAAAGAGATGCATTGCCACACACCGTCTGCTGGTTATTTCCACCATAAACTCGTTACCCATAAAAACCATAAACACGACTGGAGAGGCTCCGCCGTGGGCCTGGGCATCTCCTGCTTCTGTTACTGCAGAGAAAATCTGACTTGGGTCGGGGATAAGGCTCAGCAGTAGGGAACTTGCCTTAAGTGTATGTGTGTGCGTGCGTACACACACACACATACACACGCGCGCGCATGCGCCCAAGAAATTTGACTTGAGCTCCCTTTTGGCACTCACTATTGAAACCTGGGGTGTGATTTCTCATTGGGTGTATTTGTTTGGTTTGGTTGGGGGGTTTGGAGTCACTCCCAGAAGTGCTCGGGGAAACTCGGTGATGCCAAGATCAGACCCATCACTCGTACATGCCGAGCATTGCTCCTGGCCCTCACTGGATAGATGACAGGCACAAAACCACGTGGAGCCCTGGGCATTGATGAGTTTGTGTGACATGCCCAGAAGTATGGTTATATTCAGGAAACACAAGTCCCAATGAAAGGACACTTGGTGGCTGGCTGCCATGCCTTGCATCTCTTTTGGCAAAGCCACAGATCAAAGTTCCTTTTGGTAAGGACAGAGGTTTACAGTGTTCCTGGAAATCGAGGAGTTGGCCTGTGGGGGCCGGTAGAACCAACCACAGGTCTCCCGTGCGTGATGCTCGGGGCCCAGGAATGGACACAGGGACGCCCATGAAAGGGCCTCACAGTCCTCCTCTCTGCCCCGCAGATCCTCTCCTTCATCCTGCACACCATCGTGCGAGGCTTCATCCACTCCTCCATCGGAGGCCTGTATGCTGCTGTGTAAGTCTGGGTGCGGCGTGGCCGCTGCTGGGGCAGGCAAGGGAGTGACAGGCAGGGGCGGGGCCGGAGGCCCAGCTACCTGCCTTCTCGTGGTTCACTTTCTCACCTGGGGGACTTCTGGAGGGGCAGGCGACCCTCCGGGCAGGAGCTCAACAGTTGGGTGCCCACAGCCTTGGCACTGAACACAAAGTCAACTCCCCCAGCCACCATGAGTGCCCTACACAGTTCATCAGGTTCCGGGGCAGCTGCTCAGCCCCATCCCAGCTCCGCCCCTCGCCACCCGGAAGCTCAGGGGCCAGAGCTCAGTGTAGAGTTCACATGTGCTCAGCCTGGGTCCAGGAGGGTCGGGGCGGTCTGCCCACAGCGTGGTTTTGCCGACCATCTCAGCCGCTGCCTCCTTCTCGGAGGCCACAGGGGAACCCAGCCGTTCCTCTTTCCAGTGCCGGGCCTCGGCTCCACCGCCAGGACCCACACCCCGCCTCAGTCTCTCTGACTGACCTGCCAGTGTGTCGCCCAGCTTGGGGGCAGTGCCCAGGAGCTGCTGGCTGAGATTTTGCTGGAACTCTGTGCCCCCACCCCCACCCCCAGCCGCATCGCATGCGTGAGGTTCATCTTAGGTCTGCCTGGCCCGTTCCCCCCACACCACCACACCCGCCTGCCCGGAGGAAGTGGCGACTGCTCTGGCAGGGTTTGGGGGAGTTGGCTGAGAGAGAGCGTGATGCTGAGTTTCCGGGATTACACAATGTGCTTCTGCACGGACGGCACAGCGGAGCCCGGTCCCAGCCTCCCACCTGCTCCGGGGGCCTGTCCCCGAGCTGCAGACCCCAATCTCCCACCCCTGGGCCCTGGGTACACCTGAGCTAGGCTGGGGCTTCCCCCTCCCCCTGCCACGGGCCCACAGGAGAAAGTCACTTTGCAGTGCTGGAAGTCCTCCAAGGGCGTGGTTGGGTCCGTCCCTCCCCTCCGGCCCGGGCTGAGGCAGGCAGCCCAGCCATGGCCCTCTCCCCTGCCCGCAGGTACCCCTCCACACAGTTCGGCAGTCTCACAGGTCTGCAGTCTCTGGTCAGTGCCCTCTTCGCCCTCCTGCAGCAGCCCCTGTTTCTGGCCATGATGGGTCCCCTCCAGGGCGACCCTCTGTGGGTAAGAAGGGATGGGTGTGGAAGGGGAGGCCCACCTGCCCGGAGCCAGGGCCCTGGGGGCGGGTGGCCGGCCCAAGAGTGTCTGCTCAGCCACCTGCCTGCAAAGTCAACAGCAGAGGCAGGCGCCCTCCCGCCCCGCCCCTTAGATTCAGATAAGTCGGGCTGAGGGCTCAGCCCGAGGGTGGCGGTGGCGAGGGTGGTGGGGGCCAGGGGAAGTCTGCCGCTGGAATGTTGACTCAGGGGACGGTTGGGAACTTCCTGTTGGACCCTCTCCTACCCTGTAACCGTCCTTCCTTCCCGGTCACCCTGAGCGTGAGGTGCTGGCCCCTCCCCGCGCGGTGCTCAGCCCTGCTCTCCCCCAGGTCAACGTGGGGCTCCTGGGCCTGAGCATGCTGGGCTTCTGCCTCCCGCTCTACCTCATCTGCTACCGGCGCCAGCTGGAGCGGCAGCTGCAGCAGAAGAGGGAGAACGACAAGCTTTTCATGAAGATCAACGGTTCATCCAACCAGGAGGCCTTTGTCTAGCACCTCCCCGGGGCCTCCTACCCCTGCTCCGGGGTGACTGACTCTTGTCCTCCGCCCCACCTCAGAGGACCCCACACGCACCTCCAGGGACTCTCCTTCACCGCAGCGGTGTCCACGCTCCCTCCCTGGCCCTGGTCTCGCCAGCCCGGAGCTCTGCGTGGAAGGACAGGGAGAGGCCTGGGGGGGGGCGTGGATGGAGCAGCCCCGGGCTCTGCTCTGACACCCTCAGGGTCCTTGAGGTGCCCCCCTGGCACCTGCGGGAGGAGCTAGAGGCACCCAGCAGGCAGGTCCTGCCCCTCCAGGGTCCGGGTACTGCCACCTGCGTTCCTCAGCTGCATGCCCACCAGCCACGCCTGCCTGAGGACAAAGGCTTGAACTGTCTGCACCCCCTTGGCCGGCCCCTCACCTCCTCCCCTACCCCGTGGAGGAGTTTGCCTAGGAAGGAAGGACCCGCTTCCTGTTGTTGGTGCTACCTCCTTTGTCATTCCTGTGTCTGGGCCCTCTCCCACAGGGACCATGAGAAGACCCCGGGGGAGCCCCCAGCCTGCGAGGAGAAGGGAGCCTGGCTTGGGTGGTCACTCACATGGCATGGGAGGCCTGGGCCAAGCTGGGCAGCACCCCCACCCCCAGGCCTCCTCGCGCAGCCAGAGGAGGGCCGGTCCCCACTGCCATGCTCGCCAGCTTTGTGACCTGAAGGGAATTAAAGGGCACCAACAGGGCGTCCCTCACACATAGATGTTTCTGGGGGGATGCAAGGAAGGTGGTGGCCGAGAGAAGAAAAAGCTCAGGCCAGGGCGGGTGTGCCAGGGCCTAGGAGAGAAAGGGCGCGAGTATGTGTGCGCGTGATGTGGGTGGGGTGGGTGGGGGTCGGATGTGGGCTCTGGGTGCCTGTCTGTATTCTCTGGGAGCCGCCCAGGAGCCTGCCAGGCTTGCGTCACGGAGCGGGTCCCAGCTGTGGGGCCGCAGCGCCCCCTGCTGCCCAGTTCCGCCAGCACGGGCTGTTTACAGGGGAGAGGCGACGCCTGCCCCCACGGCACCCCCACCACCCACAGAACCCCACCCAGACCCGCCCTGAGTGGGGCGGGTCAATTTTTTAGGTTGATGGTGGTTTTTTTGTCTCCAGACTTTTTATAAAGCAATAAATCCATTTTCCTCCTGGCAGGGGGATGCCCCTTCTAGCATGTCACTCATAGCTCCCATGCGCCTGCTTTGAGCTTCAGAAGAAAAGGCAGGACGGAGTTTCTGCCACATCCAGTAACCCACCTTACTCTTCTGAGTGATGTGTTGGGAGGGGCAGAGGACTAGGAAAAGCTTCCTCAGCTCCCCCCCTCCAAAAAGTAGGGCTCTCTAAGACATCCTGGAAGCGGGCCCCCTCCCTGTAGTTTATCTGATCCTGACTTTCTCTTAGCCCCCTCTCTGAGCCTCTGTCCCCCAGCACCCCACTGTAAAGGGTCTCTCTGGAGTTCGGGGCTCAAGGTGATCCCCAGAGCCCCTGGGCCCCAAATCAGATCCAGGTTTTGGGAATCAACCAGGGAGGACAGGAAGGGGCGTACCCGGGCCCAGATTCCAGCTTTCCACACATCAGTGAGTACCACCCGCACACCTCATCTCCCAGGACTCTGCAGCATTCAGATATGGAAGCAAACAAGCGAACCTTGCAGTGCTGGGGATCAGACCTAGCCTGCAGGCTGAGTGTGCCCTTCAGGGCTTTGAGCCATCTCCCTAGCCCCGAGCAGCATGTTTTTAAAAAGATCCACAACTATTTCCCTTAATTTAAATTTTTTATAGTAAGGAACCAGAATAATAGTACAGCAGTAGGCTTGTCTTGCAAGCCACAGACCCAGGTTCAATCCACAGAATTCCATAAGTTCCCCAGAGGACCGCCAGGAGTAAGCCCTGAGCATCACCGGGCATGGCCCCAAAACCAAAAAAAAAGTTTAACTGAAATCTGGGGAATGTGAGGGAAAAGCATGGACCCACAGCGGGCCTCAGCACCCACTGAGCAGCAGGTATGAGGAATGAGGGGAGTGGAGGCCATTAGCCGCCTCCAGGATGGTCAGCTGTTAAATGTGGGGACTCTAGGTCTTCTCTCTGACCTTGAGGGTAGCAGGAGTATGCATTTTGTTCAGCCCTCACCTGGTGGGGGACGGAGAGATAGTACAGCAGGTAGGGCATTTGCCTTGCACACGGCTGGTCCAAGTTTGATCTCCAGCATCACATATGGTCTGCCAAGCAGCACCAGGAATAATTGCTGAGCACAGCCAGGAGTAACCCCTGAGCACTGCTGGGTATGGCCCAAAAACCAAAAAATAAAATCAGTAAATCTAGTCTGGTAAACTCCCGCCCGCAAAAAAAAAAAAAGTCCAAGGTCCACTGATAAGGAGGAACACGGTGGTGTGGACACTAGCAAGCTACAGCCTGCCACGTTGTTGAGATGCTCACACAGAGCTCGTGTTGTCCCCACAACAGCCCAAGAGGGCGCTGCTGTTTCTCTCCTGTAGTCTGGAGGCCCCTATGGGATGCAGCCGCCCTGGGAATTAGAGCTCAGGATGACTCTCACACTGCGAGGGTCAGTTGTACGAGGATGAAAGGCATGAATGGGAGCAGGGTGCCCCTTGGGTGGGGCCCGGTGTCCTCCACCGCCCCGCCGCCTGCTCATACCCTGCCATTCTGGCTCTGTAGCATGGCAGGTTGCTTTCCCATGATCATGAAATGACTATCCAGCAGTTTGGTAGCTACTGCCATCCTTTCCGTCACATTCAGCTGCGCTCAGGGGTCACGACTGGTGGGACTCAGGGGACCCTATGTGTGCTGGGGATCCAGGTGGGTTGCAAGCAAGGTAAGGGTACTGCCTGCTGCACCAGCCCTAGATTTGGTCCACAGCTGGCAGATGGAGGCCCCCGGAAGTAGACTCGCAGACAAGAACCAGGACTCTCCTGACTCCTAGAGTTGCTCCACCTGGGACGGGGTGGTCCCTGTTGCAGGAAGGGAAGCCAGGAAGCTGCTCTTGGCCCTGGACACTGGCAGGAAATGCTATCCTGCCCTCGCTGTCAGCTCGGGGGTGGTTGTGCCCTTGTGCAGTGCCCCCTGCCGCCTTCCGGGACTGCACTAGGTCTCCCTGGTAATCTCCCTTCTCTGCCTGCAGCCCCTCCACCTGCATCTGTGTTAGGGCAGGTCTAGCCCCAAAGAGGGCAAAACTGGGGTGCCGGCCCTGTGGGTGTCTCCCTTCTGCTCCATCTCTCTCCTCTGTTTATGGCCTGACCGAAAGGACCTAAGCCCTCCTCACTCCGGGGCAGACTGCTGCACCAGGTCATGGAGATGAGCCATTAGGACCATCCCAGACTGCAGCTGTGGGAGCTGGGAGACAGCCTCCAGGGGCCTGAGCAGGGCCGAGGCGGGGGACAAGACGGAGCCCTGCAGGGCACGTTTCTAGCAGAAGGCTCTGCTGGTCTCAACTGGGTCAGCATTCGGGGCTGGAGACATAGTACAGTGGGGAGGGCGCTTGCTCTGCATATGATGATCAGGGTTCAATCCCCGGCACCCCGTGTGGTTCCCCCAAGCTCACCAGGAGTGATTACTGAGCACAGAGCCAGGAGTGACCCCTGAGCATTGCCAGGTGTGGCCCAAAAATTTAAAAAAAGATTTGGGGGGCTTTATTTTGTGGTGCCAGGTTGGAACCCTAGGCCTCAGGGGGGCAGAGAAAATGCTCTCCTGTTAAGTCCCAGCCCTGCTTTGCGGCCGTTTCCAGTGTTCCCAGCCTCTGAGGAGTAATTGGTGGGTACTCAGGGGCTCTGGGGCCTGTGAGGATGGGGACAGCCATGTCCCCCACTAGAGAACATGAGTGTCTCCCACAGGGATGGACGCAGCCTCTGGGCACCTCTATCTGTCCTGGGGCAGCCAGAGCCTCTCCTGAAAGCACAGGGCCACCAGCTGCATCCCTCAGGCCCAGACAACATGGCAACCTCTGGACTGAGTTACACTTAGCCACCTGTGTGAATCCCAATGGAAGTGCAAATCCCAGAACTCCCCACTGAGAAACTTCCAACAACCTCCTGAACCCCAACCCCAAGTTCCTGGAGTCTCAAATTCCCTGTATCAGGGAGGTCTGGAGGGGAAGAATAGAACTTAAAGCCCCCAACCCCCCCCCCCCGTCACACACACACACACGCACACACACACACGCACACACACACACACACACACACTCACTCTCCTGGCTTAAGGCAAGTCTTTTTTCCCATCTGGACAATGAAGATGATGGTGCCTGAGTTTGGGCCATGTGGGCAATAACAGCCCTTGCCACTTAGAGTTACTTACTAATGAAGGTCTGGCCCCGTGCTGCCCTGGAAGGGTGCAAATCACACAATGGGAAAGGGTCGCCCCCAGGCTCACATAGGACCCTTAACCCAGGCAGCTCTGCCCAGGACTCGTGTGGTCAAGTTAAGACCACTCGTGTGGTCTGTTTTACTGGCCCTTCCCCTAAAAGAGCCCCTTCAAGGTTCTGAAGCAAAAGCCATAAGCCTCGAGTCAGAGAAACAGCTCAGAGCACCTGAGCACACACTTTACATGCGGGAGGCCTGGGTCTGGTCCCCTGCACCTCATGGGTCCCTAAGCATGGCCAGGAGCAGCCCCCAAGCACAGAGCCAAGGAGGAACTCCCAAACACCGCCAGGTGTGGCCCCAAAACCAAAATAAAAGTGTTCTGTTTGCTTTTATGTCTTTCTCCTGTGGGAAGAGATTGACCTAAACCGCTGCCCAGAACCCTCTCTGAAGGCTGGGCTGCTGGTGGCTCTCCTAGGCCTCTATCTAGTGGAATAAGTGAGAGCCGGGTGCCAGCCGCACCCCTACCAGCTCCCCGCGAACCTTGTAGCGTGTGTGTGCCCATGCGGTGTGGAGTGGGAGCTGTGTTCCAGCATGTCAGCGTGAACATGAGAGATGTGTGCAGAGCTCGTCTGTGCACTGCTGACTAGATGGAGAACAGGCGGGGGTCCTGCCTGGCTGCCCCCCGTGCCCATGGCCGAAGGGTCTTGACAGGCCCGAGGCAGGTGCCCAGAGTG